GTCCGTAGTGGCCGGGCCGAGTGGCGAGGCCAAGCCCACAGAGGCCGTCCAGCCATGGCCTCCTGAGTTCCCTACTCCGCCATGGCCTCCTGAACTGCTTGCTCCACCATGGCTTCCTAGTCTGCCTGCTCCGCCATGGTGCCCCGAGCTCCCTGTTCCGCCATGGCCTCCTTAACTGCCTGCTCCGCGATAGCCCCCCGAGCTCCCTGCTTCACCATGGCACCCTGAACTGCCTGATCCTCCATGGCACCCCAAACTGCCAGATCCGCCATGGGACCCGGAATGGGCGCCACCCTGGAGGCCTTCTGTCCTGGAACCCTGATCCTAGAGGCCTCCAGAGCGCCCACCCCCCTCCCCGTTAGATGTTGTACGGCGCGGGACGCACCTTCTGGGAGGGGGGAGTAATGTCAGACTCTGTTCCATGTTTTGTGTGTATTTTGCTCCCCATGTGCCTTCCTTGCCCTTATTTGGTCCTTCCTGTTCCTGTCCCCATTTAGTTCTATTAGTTCCAGGTGTTCCTTGTTATTAGTTATCCTCCTCACCTGTCTGCCCCTCGTTATCTGCCCTATTTGTGTTCTAGCCCGTTCTGTTCTTCCTTCGTCCGGAATTGTTTATGTCAACCTCATCAGCTAGGTGTGTTTTCCTTGTTCCCTGGATGTTATTAAAATCTATATGTTTGAATTCCAGTCCTCGTCTCCTCGCTCCTTCATCTCCGTGCTCCTCACAGTAGTGCACCGTGACAAAGACATTGTGATTTGTCACCAAATGTAATTCTTGAAAAAAAGAGAGTGTGTGTGTGAGAGAGAGAGCATCATACATATATGTAGCATGGTATATATTCCACTGAGGAAGTTTGTCTTTTGAATTGACAATTTCAAGTTACTCATTAACTAATGAATAGCTTTGTTTGCCTCATTCGACTTTTACTTACATTTGGTGTTTGCAAGTGACCTTAAAAAAGATGCTCCACCTACTTTATCATTATGGACATTATGCTAACACTTTAAATAATTTTCAATTTGTTAACATATAGTCAACTACATTCAGTAGTATGACGTAACAATGAACATTACTTTTACAGCACTGCTTTTTTAGAAATTTAGTTTGTTAATTTTCGACATTTACTAAATATATATATATATATACTGTATATATATATCATTGTTAGTTCATATTAGCTTATTTAACTGACGTTAACAAATGAGACCATACTGCAAAGTGTTTCCAACTTGATTATGCAAAAGGGAATGTACTCAACCCCAGGTCATCCAATATGTAGATGAGTTTGTTTCTTCATCAGAACAGATTTGGAGAAATTCAGCATTACATCACTTGCTCACCAATGGATCCTCTGCAGTGAATGGGTGCCGTCAGAATAAGAGCCCAAACAGCTGATAAAATAACATCAGAATAATCCACAAGTAATCCACGCCACTCCAGTCTATCAATTCATGTCTTAAAAGCTGCATGTTTGTAAATTCATCATTAGGCATTTTTACTTAAAATTTTTACTTTAATCCATAATAATGCTTCCTCCAGTGAAAAAGTCCACCCCCTGTTGTCCTCTCATATCAAAATCCACCAACATATTTGTTTACAACTGTTTTGGACTGTTTCTACTTGTAAATGGTGCTTGATCTGTGCATATTTCTCTCACAATTCAGATGAGACGACTTTTTTCACTGCTGAAAGCATATTAATGACAGATTACTTATATTTTAGACAAATTTGAAGTTTAAAAATGATGGATTTGTTTATTATAAACACACAGCTTTTCACTTCACAATACATTTTTGATAGACTGGAGTCATGTGGATTGTGGATTACTTGGATTATTGTGATGCTTTTATCAGCTGTTTGGAATCTCATTCTGATGGCACCCATTCACTGCAGAGGATCCATTGGTGAACAAGTGATGTAATGCTAAATTTCCCCAAATCTTTTCAGATGAAGAAACAAAGTCTTCTACATCTTGGATGATCTGGGGGTGAGTAAATTTTCAGGAAATTTTCTTTTTTTTGGGTGAACCTGTAATAAATGTTTACATGTAGATTTCATGAGGTGTGTGTTGTTATTCACTGCTTGTCTTACAGTTTCAGTCCCACACAGCAGCTCTGCACCTTTTCTTTTAAAACAGCCATATTTCTCTGTACTCTAGAGAGGCGGGACACAGCGTGCCTGTGCATGGCAGTGTTATTGCGCAATGTGGAGGAGCCCAGACGCACTCAATACGCTCATATTGTAGCGCCACCACTCTGAGCCTCAGGGCTTTTATTGTCGTTACCATGGAAATGCAGCCCACTGAGGGTAAACCACCCATGAGGAGGGACAGTGTACACTGGTTATGTCAAAACACAGATTTACCAACACATGCAGCTGTACAAACAGCACGCTACAAGGCTATAAATATCAGGCGACGGCCGCTGCGGGACTCACCAGATGAAGTCGCGGCAGTGCGAGCAGTAGGTGGGCTGTCTCAGGTAGGTGGCCATGAACTTGTGTCCGTTGACTTGATGCACCCTCCTCCGGACAGCTCCCTGCCTTTTCCTGGGACGCATGCGTTCACGAAATACACGCTCTTCATTCTCACAGCTTCCTGCAAAAACACACACAAATGCACAAACAGAAGTTATTACATGACAGCATTCACAACCATTATTCAATATACTGGGCACTCACTCACTCCACTCACACATTCATTCATTCAGATGCAACATATATATACGTTCCGTCCATATAAACTGCGAATGCTCCGCATACCCAGGCTTTTTGAGAGAATAAATTCACGGGATAATTCATATAAACATGATTATAAGTTGATCCCTTGTCATTTTACATGTAACTTAAAGCTTAAAGAGTTAGGAATAAGTACGTACAATGATTTATTTGCCAAAAGGCAGTAATTTTCTTTAAATCTACCAGTTGCGG